GAGCCGCATTATTTCTCTCGCACTGAAAAGAAGCCGAGGATGGTAAATGCCACTTTGGCAAGTAGCGAGCTCACTCTATTTCATGATAATTTATTTTTGGAGATAACACGGACATTATAAAAGAGCAACCAACTAATAAATAACTAAACAAAAAGCCGGCTAATAATGACGGCAGAAAGCAGCCCCTTCTAATATATGGCAAAACGAGGGGGACGAATAACTTTTTGAGGGCCGGCCGTGAGGAGAGAGCGGCGTGAGATATGGCGAAGGTGAGCGCGCGTCTATCGGTTACTCTAATTTTGGGGATAATTCACTTTCCACCCCCTTATGGACGCTTTTTAATAAATGCTGGTCAACTGAAACCGGAGCTAAGAGAACGATAAAAATTCATTCCCAGCCCTTCCCACCAGTTCTCAGAGAGCTGCTGTTTAGTGATACTTAAAAAAAAACCAAAAACAAACCCAAAAAAAAACCCCAAACATATGCTCTTGAGGTTTGACTATTGAGCTCCGTAGGGGCATTTTCGTTCTGCGGCGAGCGGAACGATGACTTGGGGAGATGATCTGCCCCGGAGCAGCTTCCCTCCCTGCTCTCTGGCTCCGCCGTTATTCTACGTTCGGCCTGACAAGCTGAATCGGGCGCGTGAAAAGAGACTCGATCGTCTACAGCAGGCATTTAACGCTTTAATCACTTGAAAAGCCCTTGGAATAATATTTAACGTTTCACGCTGAAGCCGGTGTCGGAATAAAACACGCCGCGGTGTTTAGTATGTGCCAGGCACGCGAGCGCAGATAAATACTTAAATCTGCTGAAATTAGAGGGAAATTCAATTGGACTTTCACATTCCTACGCTCGTTTGTGAGCTAGGGGGGGGAAAAAAAGTCTGAAACGGGGAAATTTCATCTCGCTTCGCCGTAATGAAGTGTAAGTTTTTAACGCCACGGTAGGAGCTAACAACGTAACGCTCCCTCGCCTCTCTACCTTATAGAGCAGGTCAGAGAAAATAGCATTTTATCTTATAATGAGGATACAACACCGAGGCGTTCGCTACCGCGTTTTAGTATTCCCATCAACTAGATATTCCAGATCATAAGGGCAGCTCGTGTAATCATAATGTCAATGAGAAGGGCTGTTACGACTGAGACTAAAGATTACATGGAAAAAGCTGCTTTGAAACTGGTAATTATTACCAGTCCACTAATAGCAAATGATGCATCACAGTTTCACCATATAATCTGTATTTCACTCAGCTCCTGCCAGTACGGCTTTTTTATATTACAGCACTCACAAATTCTAAATTCCTAAACGACGGTCATCAATAAATGCGTTACTTGCCATAATTTGCAAAATTACTTTGTTCATAACATCTTCGACTGTTATAAAGACTGGAATTGATTTCCTGCATGGCAAAATTAGGGCTACATTGATTTAGTGGACTGTAAAATGTAATATTATTCTTCATTTGCTTGCCTGAAAAACAAGTTCTCAATTCACCCTCCGTGTTTGGTAATCAAGATAATAATTGAAATTTAAAATCGTGTTTATGTACAAAACTTCCCCAAACAACCCACCATTTTCAAGAGAGCAACGTCAAACCAGGCAATAAAATAAAGCAGCGAAACAGTTAAAATCCACCAGCCGTTTGCCTCCACCTCCTGCTTTGAAGAGACACGATTTCTAATTTGTCTATTAGTGCTTGATTAATTATGACGGCTATTGACTGACCATATCACCACCTAGAGATACGTTCCAGTCTGATGCAGCCTTGCCAAACTGCAAGAATTATGGCACTAATCCACGCGTCGCCCGCCAGCGGCAAGACAGGTCCACAGATCGCCGTGGCAAGCCTTGGTTTTGGAAGGGACTCGCCCTTCCTTCCTCCCGTCCCACCACCATGCTTTTTGGTACAGCGTTCGGGTCCCCCCAAAAGCCGGCCGGGATTGTAGGACCCAAAGGCTGTGGATCCACCGATGCCTCCTAGCTACGGGCCAGCCCTGTGGCAAGACCATGGGCAAGCCAGGAGAGCACAGCAGGGAGATGCAGTAACCAGTGCTGGCGAAGGACAGAGCTGGAGAAGGTCCCACAGGGCTCTTCGTGCTTCATCATCCACTGGGGCAATGTGATGGGATGTGTTATCCAAAGCAGCGCTGTGACGCCATCGGAGCTTTGGCCTATTTCCAAGAGGCTATCGGGAACCCCTTGGATCGAGTTGCGAAGAGGGTCATTGCCGAACCAGCCCTCCTCAGCCACCAGCAGCGGGGCTGGAGCCCATGTCCTCAGCTGCTTTGCATCGAGGAATTTAAGGGTGAAAGGGACCACCAGCTCTCACTCTCTGACCTTTCCTGCATTACATGTCGCTCAGTTGGCCTATGCCATGACCAACACCATGTCTTGGTTAAAGTGTAACCTTCTCCAGCCCCGCAAACAGTCTTTAGGGCAAAGCACAAAATCCCAGTGAAAACCATTTAAATCAGCTCAGAAGACAACAAGAGCACCCACTGCTTGTCACTGCAGTAGGTTCCCACAGCTAACCACATTCCCAGACAGGTACTGGAGTCCACTTGAATTTCCCTGGCTCCAACCTCTACCCATTCTCTTCTTCTGTAGAGTTTCTTTTTGGCCAACACACTCAAAAGCCTCTTAGTACACAATGTGCCCCGCCACGCACACCAAGGGTACTTGTGCACCCTAAAATCAAGGTACGCTTCAAAACATACTTATTTTTCCATCCTGAAGCCACCCCTCCATCCTCCTCCACTACTCAAGGACCAGCTCAGCCCTTCTCAGCCCAGCATCATGCTGGGAAGGAGCTGATTTTCCACTAAGCCTCCCGCAGTGATGCTGCCTTCTGAGGTACCGCACTCTGGATGTGTACGTAGAGCCCCAATTCCCCTCTCCTAGCCAGGCACCATGGCAGGTGGTACCCAACCATGCTCTCAACGCGCACCGCTCGACAGCCTTTACAAACCACCCCATAAACCTGTCCCTGTTGCTCTTCATCCGTCCACCCGCCTTTGCTTTATCCGCAACGCTAATCACTCACAATTGCATATTCATTTCTAAATCACCAACAAACTTCTAACCACCACTGCAGCTTCCACCAGCCCCTGCTGACCATCCCATCCACCGATGCTCCTCCAGCTAAGCCCCCGCGTTGCCAAATCTGTCGGCTGGCTCTTAATCACCCGTGCTAGCAATACCCAGTGCTCGGTCTTCCTACACACAATGTCACGCAGCGCCGCGTCCAACACCTTGCAGAGTCTATTTCATCTACATTTATCAGCCAAAGTTGTCATCTGGAAGAATGAAATCAGGTTTATTTGACACGATCTATATTCCATAAATCTAAGTTGAGTGGCATGAATTACATTTCTATCCTTTAATTCTTTATCAATTGAATCTTATATTGTTTCTTCAACTATTTTGCCGAGCAGAGGTAAGCAAAGTGTTGCCAACTCTCCCATGGTTACCCCAACCAGCTTTTGATGGTGTTTTCCCAGTCCGTAAGCTTTATTAAAAACCAGTATCACACACTAACTATTTAGGGATTCTTGGGTGCAAGTTGTAGGGGCCTTTCCATTTAAAAATATTTATCTCCATTGGACCTTGTATAAAATCCTCCTTGACTACTAATGAGCTAGAAAAAACGTCATCGCCCGCCGATGACACAGAAACATAACACTGCTGCTTTCCAGGTGTACAGCAGAAATATTTATTTAAAATTCCTGCCTTACTGCTCCTTCCATCCATCACTTCTAGGGTTTCCCTTTTCTCCAGGACCCTAAGAAGCTCTCCTCTTCTCCTCTCCCCATGCCAGCAGGAGTTTTCCTTGGCATCTTCAGCTCCCCTGACCAATTCTCTATCCATCACGGTTTCTCACTGTGATTGATTGCTATCTATTTTCCATTTTTTTAATTGTCATATATTGATTTTTTTAATATCTAATTGCTGTTCTCATCTCACCACTGAAGCGGGTGAAGTGGGTTTTGGATTTGGGCCAAAGTTGCCCTCTCCTTCCTGGACAGCTCATCAACTCTTTACAAATAGCTTCCAATTACTATTCGCATTTTTGCCTGTACATTTTTCCTCCCACTCGATTTTGCTGCTCATTTTCTTCGTATTTGAGAAATTACCTCTTTAGGAGAATTACATGGGGATACCATGTACCAAATACAAACGTGGGGCCAATATGAAACTCGACTGGTCCTCCCCAGTGAAGTCTCACCCACCGT